AGATCCACCAACTAAGCGTGAAGAAACTTGTCTTAGTAACCTAGCAATACAATGCCCAGAACAGTGCTTTACAAAGTTTTCAAACATTAAGCAGTATAAGAAAATGACATACCTTAAGTCTCTCTCTTTCTATGTCTGGTTTGATGAGCTTTCCCAACAGTCGGTTTTCCTGCAACTTTCTTTTTTTCTTTTCACCCTCTGGACAAAGAATCGAGTTACAAACTTGAACAATAGTTTTAAACTGGAACGAGGGCACATTCATCAAACTCTCCAAATCCTGAAATGGCCCAAACTTTTCTCTGTGTTCTATAATACTGATGGACTTTTTTCCATGAAGCAATTTGAAAGCTTCAAGTTCTTTATTAGATGCTGTATTCAACACATGCAGGATGGAAGCCTGCTGTTCTGAAGAGAAGAGCTTGTTAAGTGCATTTCCAGATTCCTTTGCATTTTCATCATAAAAAGAAACACTGCTGATAGTTTTCTCAGGTGCAGTAGATTTTTTCCGATAGCAGAAATTACGTAGGGTCTGGAACAAGGATAACTCCACTGGAACTGGAAAGGATCTCCATCTCCCTAAACRGAAAATTAACAAAATATAAACCAGATGTCCTACTTCTATATAGTGTTAGTTACAAGCTTGACCAGATCCTTTGCAAAGTCACATAGACTTTCCAATAATTTAAGAAATACTTGACTATATTCGCCAAGTGCAGTGACATACCTGGAATCCCAGAAACTTTGGAGGCTGAGGCAAGAGGTCAGAAATTTCAAGGGCAGCCTCAGCAGTTTAGCAAAATCCTCAGTAACTTAAGAAGACCTTGTCTCAAAAATGGGTGGGGATGTAGTTCCSTGATAAAACACCCCTGGGTTCAACCCAAGTACAAAAACAATAATAACAATACACTAATAAGTAAAAAGAAATAATGGGCCATATTAAATTATTACAGAGAATCAACTTTAAAATAGGAAATATACATTTTTTGTTTTGTTTTGGGGACGGTTGGCATCATGGATTAATCACAGGAGCACTTTACCACTGAACTCCATCCTCGGTCCTTTTCACTTTTTGTTTTGAGGCAGAGTCTTGCTAAGATTCTGAGGCTGGCCTCATACTTATCCTCCTATCTCAGCCTCTTGAATGACTGGGGTTACAGGCCTGAGCCACTGTGGGCCTGTACTTTTGTTTCCTTTAGGGCTTTTGTTGTTTTTGAGTCACAAGAATTGTCTTCTGATTTTTATGGATCAGTCCTAAATTTCACTACCTAGAATTTGTATTTTATGCCCGTCAAAAAGTTGTAGTTAAGGGCTGGGGTCATAATTCATTGGTAGATCGCTGGCCTAGCACTCTTGAGATCCTGGGTTGATCTCCAGCAGCGCTTGGTTTTTAGCTGAAATAATCATTTCAACTGATATCCTTTTTTTTTTTTTTAATATATTTCCATGTGAGGGATCTTTTTTGTAATTGATCTCTGTTTAAGATTTATCTTCACTTSCATTTTCACTGGATTCTCATCTGGTGGAATTAAGAAAATTAAATTTTATGATTATAAGAAAAGTTTTAGCCGAGTTTAAAGGCGCCTTATTAAAGGGCGGTTTTAATTTTCTTCYATAAACTGCTCAAGATTTCTACTATGACTATGTTTTTGCAAGCAAAAGAAACACCATAAAATAAATGACTTTGTAAAACCAGGGAAAGTCACTCTGACATCGCAGCCACAGGGAATAAAGCAGCCGGAAGTAAGCAAGTTGCTGTTGGAATCTGAATCCACTTGGATTGATCCCCAGCATGGGCGGGTCGGGGGGGGGGGGATCAATCCTCCTCTTGGAGCCATGGGCTAGGGAAGCACATAAGATCCAAGGTTCGGAGACCAGAACCGTCCCGACAGCTCGGCTACAGCTCCAAGCGGACGACCTGGATACGGAACAGGAGAAGACAAACACTCCAARTTCAGGGGCTAATGGCAGATGGGAGAACAACCCTGCATTCTAGRTACCCTACCTCCTGCTTTGAGCAGACAAGACACGCTCATCCTCCAGTCCCACCGCTACAGGCTTCCTCCACTGACTTCCGGTTCCTGTTTGCTTCGCCACAAAGCGTCCGGCCTGGGCTCCGCGGAAAGATTCCGGYCAAAGTGTCGTTCCGAGACACACCTGGCTTTGCAGTGGGTTGGTCGGTGGGTTGGCCGGTGGCCATACCCGTGTGCGCTTCTCTCAAGGCCTCGGGTGGCCCGCAGAAATGTTCTTGCCCTCCTGCCCATAGTAGCTGCAGGACCGAATCTCCGGGAAGGAAACACCTAGGCCAGGTTCATCTGTAGTTCGTTACGGCGGCCCTCTTCGGGGAAAATCTCCTGGGTTGAGTAGAGTCGCATAGATGGAGGAGCTCCAGTTGATACCCAGCTTGGAGCTTAATGCCGGGTGGGGATGGGAAAGATGGGAAGTAGAAAGGTGCACCAATAACCGTGTCTTCAGGTCGAGCGGGATAACTGAGGGAAGCCCAAATTGTTTCAGAAGCTCAGCGAGGAAAAGAGGGCAGGCAAGATACCAGGGAGGACGAGGAAGGAGGAGATGGCTTTGCCCCTGGGTGAAGTATTCCATTTGCATTGGCTGGAGAAAGTTGAAGGTGCTATGTTTTCAGTTGAAGAGCTACCTCAGGTCTCTGGTCTTTGATTTGCAAAGTTAGATTGGAACTTTTCTAGAAAAAAAAAAAAATGGCTGTGTATATAGCCAATGTGAGACCGGCTTGAAGGTGAACCTGGGAACATGAAGAACAGTCGGGAAGCTAGACTATCTTCCCAAGGGACAGGGAACAGTAAGGAATTGAATCTGGGAGATGTGAGGAGACTGGAAAGAAAAGGATTCTTTCTGGAAAATGGGGAGGCTTTAGCCAATTTTGTGAAAAATGGGAAGTCAGGAGGAAGAAAAAGGTAATGAGTTTGTGTTTTTTGTGGGGCAGCAATAGATTGATTGTCCCTGTGGCTATTGTCCAGAAGGCAATGAGATATGGGGAATAATAAATATTAATGAGAATTCTAAGAATCCTGACAGTTTCCTGGGGGAAGTTAGGAATCTAACAAGAAATAAAGTTAAGTTTTTGTGCAAAAATCCTCCAAATCAGGAGAAAATGATTCCCATTTCACTCCAGAGCTTATGCAACTTAATGAAATATTGTAATTGCATTCTTCAAAAAAGATAAAAGGTGAGCCGAGTTCYGTGGCACACACCTGTAATTCCAGCAGCTCAGGAAGCTGAGGCAAGAGGACCTGAAGTTCAAAGCCAGCCTCAGCAACTTGGCCGGGGCCCTGTTTCCCAAAAAAGTTGGGGGTGGGGCTGGAGCTGGGGCTCAGTAGCAGAGCACTTGCCTAGCATATGTGAGGCACTGGGTTGGCACCTTAGCACCACATACAAAAATAAACAAAATAGAGGCATAATGTCCATCTACAACTACACCCACTTTTTAAAAAAAAAAAATTTAAAGGAAGGGGTGCTGGGGATGAGGCTCCGTGGTTGAGCATATTTGGGTTCAATACCTGGTGCCAAAAAAAAGATGAAGTCCTAACCCCTAATATCTCAGAATGTGACCATGTGACCTTGTTTGAAAATAAAGGCATTGTAGATGTRAGTAGTTAAAATAAGATAGGGTCTGGGTGAGTAGCTCAGTGGTCTCAGGCTTGCCTAGCATGCACCAGTCACAAATTGCAGTCCCCAGTACCTGATCACACCACATGAACAAAAAGGTGAAAATGCCAGGCACAGTCACTGCCTATGGTGCCAGCTGCTCCAGAGGCTATAGGAGGATCATTTGAGGCCAAGAGTTTGAGGCCAACCTGGACAACATAGTAATACCCCAGTCTCAAACACAAACAGAAAAACATGAGATGACGCTGGCCTAGGGCAGTGATTTATCCAATATGACTCTTGTCCTTATAAAAAGACGGCCATGTGAATGTCATGATGAAGATGGATGGAATGATAGAACTACATGCCAAGGAAGGCATTCACCAGAAGCTGGGAGAAAGGCATGGAACAGATTCTCCTTAGAACCCTCAGAAGGAAGCAATCCTGCTGACATCTTGATTTCAGACTTCTAGCCTTCTGGACTGTGAGAGAATAAATTTATCTTGTTTTAAGCTTCCCAATTCATGGTGACTTGTTACAACATCTGGAAGAAACTAATTAATAAGGAATCCTGGTTATGCTTTCAGAGATGGAGTAGTTGTCTGGCAAGACACAACTTAGCACTTACTTCACAAACTTAGGCAGTTTTTTATGCTCTGAACCTCAGCTTCCTCATTTGTAAAATGGAGATAATGATACCTAACTCAAAAGACAGACTGTTTGAAGTATTCACAAGAAACAGGATACAGAGAACCCAATATGTAATAAAAGTTTCAAGAAATGTTAGTTTCTCCATGAAGCATCACTTCTTCTTCAGAACTAATGACCTTGAGGAGAAAGGCCCTTCTTCCTCAGAGCATTCATTCAGAATTATACTTTGACCAGACTGGAAGTGGTGCTCATGATTCACTGTAAACCAGAATCAGTGCATTCAAAATGAAAAATCATATCTTCCTTCAGAAAGTAGCTCTTTCTCACTTCCCTGATTCTATGTAAAAAATCACTGGCTTAGTTTAATTAACACAGGTTAATTCTGTATGGGAAAACAATAAAGGTTAATGTTCTATAATATCATGTCCTTGAAGTAGACAAACATTTCTTCTCAAGATATAAAAAGCATTAAACTTAAAGAAAAATGGATAAATTGGATTTAATTAAAGTTATAATGTCTGTTCATTAAAAGACACATTGAGACAATGAAAAGGCAAGTTACAGGGTGAGAGAAGATATTTACAATGCTATAACTGACAACTTGTATCCAGAATATATTGTCAAAATTCCTACAAATACATATGAGAAAGGTGAGTAACCCAATTAAAAAATAGGCAAAGGCTGGGCATGATGGTGCATATCTGTAATCTCAGCAGCTGGCGAGGCTGAGGCAGGAGGATTACAAGTTCAAAGCCAGCTTCAGCAACATAGTGAGACTGTAAGCAACCTAGTGAGATCTTGTCTCTAAATAAAATATTAAAAAGGGGCTGGGAATGTGTTTCAGTGGTTAAGTGCCCCTTGGTTCAATACCTGGTACCAAAAGGAAAAAAAGGTGGGGAAGCAAAGACTTAAATAAATACATCACCTAAGGAGGATATTCAAATGGCCAATAAGCAAATGAATAGATTTTAATTTTACTCATTATTAGAGAAATGTGAATTAAAAACACATTGGGCTGGGGATGTGGCTCAAGCAGTAGTGTGCTCGCCTGGCATGCGTGCGGCCTGGGTTCGATCCTCAGCACCACATACAAACAAAGATGTTGTGTCCGCCGAAAACTAAAAAATAAATATTAAAATTCTCTCTCTCTCTCTCTCTTAAAAAAAAGAGATTGGAGTGTTGGCAAGGATGTGGAACATCTGGAAATCTCATACATGCTGATGAAAGTGTGGGTTGGTACGACCCTTTGGAATACTGGCAATTTCTAGTTTCCAATAAAAGCCAAAGATATATATAACCTGTGACCTGGCAATCTGATCCCTGGATGTATGTCCAATGTAATGCAATGCAAACATGTTCACTTTAAAATGTGTAACAGGTTGAACTACATATATGTAATTGCCAACACTTAACAGCTGTCAAATAGCAATTTCACAGCCAGGCACAGTGGCACACTTCTGTAATCCCAGCGGCTCAGGGGGCTGAGGCAATGGCATTAAGCAACTCAGTGAGACCCTACTCTAAATAAAATTTTAAAAATAGGGCTGGGGATGTGGCTCAGTGGTTGAGTGCCTCCAAGTTCAATCCTTGGTTACCCCCCCACACACACAAAAAAAATAGCAATTTCACATGATTAAATGAGTGTTCACKCGATTATGAGAGTGTTCATACTGTCTTTTATTAGCCAAAACATGGACTACGTTAATGTCAAATGATTGTGGGTATATTGAGAAATTTCAACTACATCCAGCAACATGATGAATCTCATAAATATAATGTCTGGTTAAAGAATACACACACTTATATATAAAGTATAGGACCAGGCAAAACTAATCTAAGATGATAAAAATCAGGTTACCTCTGGGACTGGTCCCTGAAGAGGGAATGGAGGGGGGAGTCTTATATTCTGTGTATTTTTAAGCTCTGGGTACTATTTAAATGTAAAATCCATCAAGTTGAAGCTTATGATATATGTCATCCAGGCTTAGTCACAATTACAGTTGTATTTGTTATACTTTAATAAAAGATTACTTGAAAGGTTAATTCTCCAAATTACTTTGAATTAGGTATGTATCATATAAGGTCTGAATGTCAATGTAGTGATACAATCTACTCTATTTAGTCCCCAGAGTCATTTGTGTCTTCAAATGCAGCTAGACTCCCAAGAAAGAGCTGTTGGTTCTTAGATGGATCATTCAGGGACTGGAACACATCATGTATCTCTTTGTCCCATCCCCACCTCTGTGTTATGATATAGAAGAAAAATAATTGATTCTCCAAATCCTAGTGTAGTAGAAGTTTTTGGGTTTTTTTCTGCTTTTATGTTATATTTTATTTTTTCAATATTGTACAGAACTAATATTGTTAAGCAAATGATCAAAAATTTTAAAAACCCTCAGCAATTTAGTGAGGCCCTGAGTGATTTAGTGAGACTCTGTCTCAAACAAGAAGTAGGGCTGGGGATATAGCTCAGTTGGTAGAGTGCTTGCCTCCCATGTACAAGGCCCTAGGTTCAATCCCCAGCACTACCACAAAAAAAAAAAAAAAAATTCAAAACAAAAAGTAAAAAGGGCTGTGAATGTGATTCAGTGTTAAGAGACCCTGGGTTCAATCCCTAGTATCAGAAAAAAAAATTTGTTTTAAACCAACATTCACACAACATTCCAGAATCAGAATACTTGGGCTCATGCTCCAACACTGCTACATATTATGTATGTATCTCAGTTTATTGCTATAAGTTTTATCTTTTGCAAATTAAGGCTCAAAGTATCACTCTTAGAAGATTATTGTGGAAATTAAATTATAG